TGTTGTTATATTTTTCGCACAGTGCTAATACAATCATAATAAAATATGTATACAATAATAATAATCGCAGTAGAGCGCTGTTAAAAGGACAAAACGGATTTCTTTTGTAAATCTTTATTAATATATACATTTTTTTTTTTGTGCCGAGTTAAGTGTACGCCCCCGGGATGACAATATTTTGCGGCTTGTACGAATCGCGTTAAGATTGACTTTTGCCGGGAGAGGGCGAGACGATATCTTATTTTTTTCCCCATTAAACAAAATCGAAACGACACATAAATCGAATTTTTAAGAAACGCATTAAACGGCCGTGGTCGACGGCGGCCGTCACCTCAGACCTCGTTTATCGTCCCGGTAGTCTTTATTGCGACCGACAGAATTTTTATAAAGCGAATAGGATTTTTATTATTATTTTTTTTTTTATGTATACCTACTTTCCCCTCGTCTACACGCTCCGGCGGTTGCCAATTTCCATCGTCTATTCTATGAAATAAATTGGCTAAAAAAAAAAAAAAAAGATTTTCGATACAATGAGAAGTGAAAGAAATTCTCGCTTAATAACCAACACGAGCTACGCTGCTACCCCAGGTACCACCATAGTATACTGTACAAAAATAATACTCAACAATATCAGTGTTTCGATACTATTATCTATATAAACGCAATGCAGGTGTTCGATATAAGTGCTTAAAAAAAAATTGCATTGAGGGACTATGCCAATTTCGGTTGCTGATTTTGTAGCGAAGGATAGAGGAGTTTTAACGGGGTCTAATGCTACCCATAAGCCTCCTTACTTGGCAAGAGGCTGTTGCTATAATTTTTCAAAGAGCACTATTAACGCAGTAATTTATTTTAATTGACAATAAAATGCATAATACGGAGTGATTACTAGAGACTACCACAACTTTCAATGAAACTTTTGACTTGTGATATTCTTTTGTAACCACCCTATATTTTAATCTTTTAACTGTTTTTTTATTATTATCAACACAATCATAAAGTTGCTTCTTGTGTTGTTGCTAAAATTAACCTAAGTCGTCTGACTTATATTTAAATTATTTTTTTTATCAATAATTTCTCAGTAGAATCGCGGCGAGAAAAACAAGATTGGAAAACAACTGAAAAATAAACTCTAATCAGTAGATTAATATAAACACGACTTAAATCAAGTTAAATAGATACCAGCCAATGTCTGCCGAAACCTTTAATGAACGTTTATGGTACTACTATGTAGACGTGTAGGTATAGGTATTTGTTATCCATTCAATCCTTTCAATTACCATCATCACAATCATTATCGATCATTGTCAAAATTATTTTTTTACACATTTACTGTGTCGAACTCGCATTGGTGTTAACATGGGCGTGTATGGGTAACGCGATACGGTTGGTATTGTCGACCGGGTAATCCGAACCGATGCATCGGCACGTATAATAGCTAACTAGTACTATAAATGTATACTTGACGTACAAAGAAACGAATAATACTACTTGAACAAGAGCTATATATTGCACAGGGCCTTATTGTATTGACAAAAGTATCGACCGGCAAGCGATACGACGGTCAGAGGTGCATACATATTATATGGACGGGTGCCGGTTTCGCATGACCAGATTAAGATTATGATTTGCCCGATCTTGGATTTCTGTGGATCATCCAGTGAATTTTTTTTTTTACACAAGACTCGCCGACTCTTGAACCCTCGTGAAATGTATATTGTATATATATTTTTTTCCATACAACGTGTATCTATACATATTTTTTACTTTAACAGCAGAATACAAGAATGCCGCGAGTAATGTATTAAAAAAAAAAAATAATAATAATAATAAAAAAATTTGGTCTTCCTATACCTCGTCTCCCGGATAACCCGCGCGGTACTCCAGACCGACAGGCTGTTATTATGTTGTACACACATTGTTGTATAATGTGTAATATGTATGTACATATATATTTATATACTGCGAGAGTTCGTTAAAAAAAAAGTACTCTACCCTAATCGACAACACGACCCTTTTAACGTGACATTATATTATGTTATTATAACGAAATCAGATAACGAAACGGATAGAAGTACACATAATCAGATGTGCCCCTCGCTGAGACCTACCCTTTTAGTTGTGCGACCAAAGAACATTTATATATATATACGACCGTTTTGTCGGACCATTGTTTTTTTTCCCCTTATTCTTTATTGAATTTAAACGAGGTGTTAAAAATAAAATACTAATAGATTAACGCTAATAGATTTAGTCAAATCTTAATCATCGAAAACTAATAAAAAAAAACTGATGCATATATATTAAAATACCATAATACATTATATTTACTAAAAAAATCAGCTTGCCAAAATATGTTTTATTTGTGATATCGAAAAATGCTGTAAATACAAATTTAAGAATCAAAATAAGAAAAATATACAATTAAACCTTATTAAAACATTTTTTAAGCATACTGATTCGAAAGTCAGAGTCTAATTGTAAGTGATTTCTATCTAATTTATAAGAGTTTTAACGAAGCTTGACACGGGTCACGGACAACTTTTAGAGAATCTTTTCCTTTTTCACATTTAGTAGATCAGTCGTAGACATTTTTGATGTTCCTTTAAGAATATATAATAATATATAAAATATGATTTATTTAACGTCGTTCAAAACAAACATCAACTCAATGTAAATTAACTGGTCGAATTCCGAAATCAATGACAGAATAATACAAATGTTTAAAACTCAAAACTGTGAAAATACAACATGAGACTTAAAGCATTTAAATTCTATCCCAATAGAGTATAGACATCACGCAAACGTTATAGAAACCCTGAACCCACATATTATTCCTAGGCGATTTTCCATTGTCAATACATCAGTTGATCCTACACTGTTATTATGTACAGTACAACAACACCGTCTGGCTATTTTTATTATTAAATCACATTAAATTGAATGTTCATCCGTATTACCAAATTATTTACTTGCTAAACGAGTGATCGCAGTAATTGATAGGAAATCTGTTTGAGTACTTTTTTTTTTTTCATAAGCAAAGGCTCTTCGCAAAATATGATTCCCGATTGTATTTTTTTTTTACCCTATCTGCCTTACGGTAAATATGGTAAAACATAATAAACAATAATATAACGACATCCGAGCGGTGGTGTAAACGCTATCACTGGAACGCCATTACCGTCGTTAAACGGGCAAAATATAGTACTTAAAAAATGGAAAATTGAAAATAAAATAAAAAGCCCTTTGCCCGTTAATGGTTCCGGGTATTTGTCGCGGGGAACATTTTTAAACGGTTTTCGCGCCGCTCGTCCGCTTCAAAATGATTGCTTGAAATTGTGTACTTCCAGTTAAAAAAAACACAAAAATAAAAATTTTAACAAAAACGACTTAAGTCCCGAGACGGATGACGGAGTGGTGTTTTCGGGAAAAGCCAAATTGTACAAATAATAAACGTGCGTCAAAGCGTTTTTTTTCTGTCCCCCCTCCCCCAAATTTAATATTATGTTATATTTTGTTAAATATCAATTTTGCTCTTTTCGGGCCAGGGTAAAAAGAGGAAACGAATTAGATGGTAAACGAGTAAATGTATTTTTTTATTTTATTTATCATGTCGGTCGCGTTAAGCGACGTTTATATACATGCCCAAGTAATCGGCAAATCGAGTTACGTTCTCAGAAAAATGGATACAAAGTGAATAACGGAAGGTATTTTATGTCTTTTCCTCAAAGGTCTGCCTTGTACTTGGGGTACTCGACCGTGTACACACATATACACATACGTATATATAAAATAATATATATTCTATACTTATTTCCTTGCGTTACGGTCATACAGGCGTTTTATTTTTCGTTGCCCTGCCCCGTTTTTTATTAAGTTTATTTCAATTTTTCTCCTTCTCTTCGGTTCTCGCTCCCGTCGTCTGCCTTGGTCCACAATAACAATAATAATAACAAAAAAAATATATAACGACCTAAACAAATTTAAAAAAAAAAATTCTCTTTGACCTCTTTGTGCCAACGTCCAAGTGCGATATTAGATATTTTTTCCACGGGCTTCTTGGCCAGAAAGAAAAAAAACTGTTGCAAATAGCCCATACCCATACACGATATTTTTATATAATACTATTACAATATAACGTAGAACCGAGACACATCTTTTCTTGACCGTGTTCTTGGCAGTTTCGACTACACAGTTTATATTTTTTTTACCCTTTCAAGCTCTCCGGTAAACACCAATAATGTTTCTGTACTACGTGCCATGGTCTTTAAGTAATATTTTATTAACGTCCGAATAATGGATTTGAAATTACTATTATGTACAAATATAGCGCTGAATAAACAATGAGTCTTACAGTATTTTTAGTCGATTATAGGGAATAAACTTACACATATTCGTGTGATACCGCTGTGACTTTTAGCGTGTCTCGGTTGATTGGTCGATGATTCGAAAGGCATAATTGCTTACGTTTAAAACTGACCTACTTGGAATGCACAGTACTGTCAAAATAACACGATAAAATGTATATAAGTCTGACTTGAAAATTACAAAAATATTCCATTGGAAACTCAAGGAGGAGGCATCAAGTCTACTCCTTCGCGTCTTCAATCATTTGATTGGTTTGCTGCAATTCTCCGTGCTTCTCATGATAACTCAATTCCTATAAGTTCTTGTAGTTATTCCCAATTCACGTCAATCGCAATTAGTTTCGAGTTCTCCATATTGTAAATACAAGGGATGATAATGTGGTGGTCTCCCGTTTCCTTCCACATCGTGGTGCTGGAATCATGGGGATGGCTTCCAACTTGGCTTACAAATTACATGGCATGTAGCTGTTCTGATATCCTTCACCTCCACTTGGAGAAGCTGCTTACCTTCTCTAGTCCCTTTAGTCGCTTCTAACGACAAACTGGGTCTATTCTGCACCCCGGGACCTAGACAGGGACTTCATGTGTTAAGTTGTATTATAGTATTAATGGCGTTGGTTTTTTTGTTCGCAGGTTTGGTTTCAGAACCGAAGAGCCAAATGGCGCCGTCAGGAGAAGATGGAAGCAGCGAGACTGGGCCTAAACGACTACGTCCACTCCACGATGACCGGATCGCTGAGTAGAATGCCCGGTTCCAGCTTGGCCCTGCCGGTAGACCCTTGGTTGTCACCGCCCCTGCTTAACGCCTTGCCCGGCTTTCTGTCACACCCTCAAACGGGTTATCCGAGTTACCTGACTCCGCCCGTGGTGCACAGTCCGTCTTCCATGAAGTCACCATCTTCCCCTCAACAGATGACCGTCACTACACCGTCTTTGATGTCCACGGCCTCTTCCACACCACACACGGCCAGCGATCCCAGGACCTCGTCAATAGCCGTACTTAGGCTCAAGGCCAAAGAGCACGTCGAGTCCATCACCAAAGGCATGCAAATGGTCTAAAACACTCGCTGCCAAAAAAAACTGTACAATATTTAATGTAAATAATATGTTTTATCATTTTTTTTTTCTTTCGAAATTCGAAATCGTTTGACCATTCCTTGGTTTATTGTTCGGTGTAACGGGCTCGTTTCGCGTGGAACTCCATCCATTGCATTATCACTAAATGTTTATCACAAACAAAGCCAGTTGGGCCAGTGAATATGAAGGCGTACAACCACCGATCACCGCGATTGCTTTCAGCCAGTCATTTGGATAGCGCTTGTGTGTCTTTACAGCTCTCCAGCGTTGGAAAACAATCGATTAATAGCTGTGGACGGCTCCTTTATCTATTGGTCAAAACTATCCTTTCCCCTGAGATTGAGATTGCCTACTTTAACGATTTTAAGGAGTTGAACGATATTTTCAAGTATAAATACATTATTATAGGTAGTTTAAAATAATATACTGTATTGCTTAGAAACCTAAAGTCTCAAACCTAAAGTCATTTAAAAAAAACCTCCATTCTCTACTCGACTTCACAATACAAAATAATATTATTATTTATAGTTAACGAGTAATATTGTTTAGAATTTTGACGCCACCTTTTAAATATCGACTGTCCCACATTGATAAAAAATAACATTAGTTCGCTTACTAATCTAATCTACTTCTCCAACTGCGAACCGTTCACACGGTTTATTACGCGTTTTCAGCATAACAATAATTAGTATTTAATATTTATTATCATTATCCAAGGATCAACCGCATTGCTATGGCGGTAAAATTATAAGTTAATTTCAAATACTTGTGACATTATCTGGTAGTGACGTGAAATGGGCTTTACTCTTGAACAAAAAACCTATTAGTTTTTACCTATAGTAAACGCTTTTTGATGTGAAAAGCTATAAAAACGAATATCATTGATTACACACCAATAGCCGTTTATTAATATTGTGTATTTAATTATTTATTCAAAACGCGACGTAGGCTGTTAAAAACTATACTTGCGTTGTGAATACCAATATGTCCATGGCATTTAGTTATTAGTTCAAAAATGATGTCACTGACAGTCTAAAAAACCATTGTGCGTGCTTTTTATTAATTATATAACGTTGTCAGTATAATATAATATGAGAATAAAATGTAGTAAATGTATGTTTATAAATTAACCACTGTTCAAAAAGTGACATTTTGTTAATAAATGTACTAATGTATTTATTTATGTATCGTATCATATTATAATAAAAGTTTATAGTATAAAGTATATTATATAAAAAAATAACTCAGTATTATTATAACTGTATAAAGAACATATACGTAACTACAGTTTGTATATTATAATACTTGTACAGCATAGTATTGTGTGTAATATAATAAAATAATATTGTATTCTATTATTACCATAATATTATATTGTATAAATGATAATTAATAGAAATTAGACATAGAGATTTTGTTTTTTTTTACAGGAAAATGTAAAAAAAAAATCTATTGTAATTTCATACTATATTGTTTTAATATTATACCGTGCTAGTCATTTGGAAGCAACCGTGTTTTGTAATTTTTTTTACACGTATACCGACGCTACATGTCTACTGAAACATTCATTACATCCTAAATAACGACGATTCAAATAAAATTTAGCAAACTCAATATTAAAAGTGAATTTATAATTTTATATATTTTCTGATGACAGTGGTCGCTTTATTTTAAACAATAATCTGTGTCATATACTGAAGAGCCCAACTGAAATTTTTAAATAAAAATCGGCTTCCTAGTGTTCCTATATAACATAGTCAAGTAGCCAAAGAATTGGAATCTCTTTACAGAATTGAAATTGGAACCACCGGTCTAGTCGACATTTTTTCTAGCTTTTTGGTTTAAAATAAACCAAAAGGGCTTTTACTCATAGAAAAAGTTATTTAAAATATTAGATTGACGCTTATAAAAATTAACCGTTAAATTAATTGACATGGTCAAATTTGATTAAAACAATATTTTTCTTAAATATTGTCTAGACAAAACTATACTAAAAACCGGCCGCATCCAATCCCCTTAAAAAACAATCGATGAGAGGCCATCGATAAGCTTACTAAATTAATAATGACACAAAAAATTGTAACAGCTAATAAAATAGCAACTATATATTGTTATGCCAAAAACAACACTAAAATAAAATATGCATTGCAGGGCATATATTAAACTAGGTAATCCAATACACAGCTTATCGATAATACTTCGAAACGATCAAGGTATAATAGAATTGAGGCTTTAATTTTATTGGGGCGCACAAGTCCCCTGTGCCCCACCCCTTGCGCCAAAGCTTATGGCTTTGGTTCTATTATACAGAACTCAGAAGAGAGGATGGATAAAATAATACAACGGTTTATATTATTATGCAGATTTTAGACCGTCAATGATGAATCGAAAATTGGCAAAGTGATATCAAGCTCGTTCGGGCATAGATCAAATTAAAATCCGTCGGTGTGTTGGCATCAAGTGCCATCGAGCAGGTGGTGGTGGGCCGAGCAAAGAGTGTACAGTGTTTAATATAAACAGCACCGATGCCAATTAATTAAAATCATTTGGTCGACGGCAAAGGGCGTAGGATTCTCCGTTTAACTTGAGCTACCCCGACCGCCCGCCTTGGCACGGTACACACTCGGGGGGACCTGTCAGCGGTTATTGGCGCGCTTAAAAGTTCTTCATTTACTGGGCGGTAAACAGTGAATTAGCATTTTATTAGCTTTTCCCCAGAACCGGAAAAACAACCGGCCTTTGATGAACCTTTCCAAAGGGGACGCCCGAAACCAAGTCATCTGGATGGAAAAGCCTCTGAGAGCGCATCGACGGCAGCCTTCTCCGGGCCGTAAAACCGCCCCTCGACCGCTCTCCTTCCCGTCCCTTCTGGCATGGCAGCCCGGGTAAACTCTGTTTTCATTTCGCCACCGCGCTTTCGCAACGACAAAGTCTCTTTGCCCGCAAACGTTTTACAGGGTTGTGTTTTATATTAAATCCTTAAATTAAAACTATATACCTACAGCTGCGGCGAGCTACCTAAACATAATAACACACAGTACTGCTCTGATTCGTCGGTCAACAATCGGAATTGCTAATCCTTCGTCAAGATTTATTTATAGAGCAACGACAGCCAACCGAACTCGAGTGGGTACCCACGGCAGCCATTGATTAATGCTGTTTTTTTGTTTTACATTTTATAATAAATTAGTAATAATTTATCGCCGACGCTAAACCGAGAAATTACAATATTTTCATTATACAAACAACCGTCGTAATACGAGTATTATGCAAATTATTTCAAATAAATTACCGCACGAGCTGACTTAAACGGACGGTCGCTTCACAATTATATAATAATTTATAACGTCATTTGATGATTGATAGAATTAACCTTAAAACCGTTAAGAAGATATTAAAACTCTGTTTAATTAAAACTCTGCCAATTTAACATGATAATAATCGCCATAAAGCCAAATATACTCCACAATTTCAATTTTCCAACAAATTACTATCATATCGCATTACCGTTGTTTAGTAGCAGTCGTCGAAGTAAATCAAATAACTGGGGGGGAGGGGGGTGGAACTATCCGGTTAATTTCTTAATAAAAATAGAATAAGCAAACATAAAAAAAAATCAGTTTATAAGAACTACAAATTATAAAACAATTATTTTGTACCGAAACCCAAGAGGGATAGATAATTTAAAAAAAAAATAAATAGAGAAAGGTGTTGAAAATATTAACAAAGATAAGTGGAAAGACGGCACCCTCTCCCCGTAACCTTCCCCTCTTCGACCACCGACTATTTGATTTGATCATATTAATAATTCACTAACCTAACACTAACCTTTGTGAAAAATTTCAGTGATACTTAAATGTTTAACTGATCTATAATAGAATATTATGGCTACAAATGGCAATAAATATCAAATAAGTTAGTCTGATCGGTTTCTGAAATTATTAAATGGAATACAGAAGGCCGTTTGTAAAAGTAGTATGAAAAACTATTACTCCAATAGTATTTACATTACTATGAATGGTGTCCCAATTAAAAACTGTCAAGTAAATAATATTATTATTTTTTTGTGTCAGACAAACAAAGACTAATGTGTATATCTAGTAATTATTAACTATTAAATATCCACAAATTAGTTAAACAAAATCCTTGAATACTCAGAAATTTTTAAAAACAGGAAACTTCCAAATACTGTGGCCTTCGTATATTTGAATAATTAATTTTGTAGTACCTAGTTTATTAATATTATATTATTTCATACTTGAAGTTTAAACCACCTTGTAAAATCCATCAAGGGAATTGAAAGCAGTTTGTTTTTGTTTGACGTTTTAGAACAACAAGCCTGACACAATTTTAACTACTTAGATTGGTCTGATATTTTCATTTCTGTAAAGATATACGAGTTCTTTGGCTTCTTCACTAGGTTAGGTTGAAAATGTATTTAGAAAGATATTTTTTTTTTCAAAAAACTGAATTTATCAAATGAACCGTTGTTTCCAACATAACCCAGTAAAGTGGCCAACAATTTTTTATATCTTTTTGGGGTATTCAAATTGGACCAATCAAACTCTGGCAATTTTGTCATAACAAAAGCAAATATTCTTTTACACCCCAAATGACTTTTACTCTTAGAAAAAAAATTGTAAAAATAATACCTTGAACCTCTTATTAATTAACCTGGAAACAAATCGACACGATCGACATTTTTTAAAACCACTTATTTCTTAAATATTGCCTACAAAAAACTTCTTGAAAATCAACCGCTTTCTATGGTCTTGAATTACTTTTTTTTTTAATATTAGTAGGTATATCAATATCGTAAAACATTACTCGACGCATATTATATTAAAAAGTAAAAACATCAAATCAGAGATTGCCCGCAGCCCGTTATTCCGAAACCTTTTGATTCAAAAAACAAGTCAAATACACAAATACTACTGCACAGTCTTATAAAGTAGAGTTTGTTGTTGTGTTTTGTATTTAATCTAAAACATCGCTGTGCATTGTGTGGTTTACTTAACATCGAGAAGAGGGCTGGAGTTCATTTTATTCAGAAACACTCCTTTCGCGTTTGACGGGTAAGCACTTTGCTTCTCGTTATTTACTCACTCGGCGGTTGGTAGAGTTAAAAATAAAAGCCAAGTATATTGTTATACTTGTAATCTCGTTACATATTATACAACATTGCTATTATTGCAATATACAACTGCTGTTGATCGATGATTAAGTTTGGTATTCTCAGAAACATTAAAAAAAAAAAGTTACACCGAATATATTAAAAAAGACAAATAGTATGAAGTCTTACATTGTTTTCATGGAAAATGATTGTCTTATCAGTAATAGACAAAATGAAAAATATATTTTAATCGGTACATATTTCTATTTAATTTATTTTTATTTATTCAATTAAGTTTTAGAACTCGTTATTTGAATTGTATTTTCACTGTTATAGTTGTGTTACTGACCAAATATAACCAATGCAATAAATTGTATTAAACAAATTAAATTTTTCTTACATTATATTAATAGGAACTCCGAAAATGGAAAATATTTTGATAAAATAAGTTAACCGGTGTAATTTTTTTCATTAAACGATTCAGACAAAGAACGTCTCAATAACAAAAAATTGAACGAAATGCCTGCTGACCATTTAAGAGTCAATATAGCATTACAAATAAGACAATCAATACACTCAAACATGCGTGATGAATTACAACATCTCAAAGCATATACATAAAATAGCAATTTTGTAGTTTTTATTTTTAAAAATATTTACAATGTTTCACTATCTAAATATTTACATTTTTTTTTTTTGTAAATACTAGGGCTCTATTAACTTTTATACCTTAACAATTTGAATTATTCCAGTACCGAATGTAATACTAAAAGCATCAGATACATTACAGATACTGTGCAAATGGATAAATAGCTGGATACTAAATTGTTCTGCAGTGTCAACTTGTTAAAGACTCAAGTATATATTTTGTTAATATTTTAAATTGAAAAAATAATTTAATAAACATTTTTTTGTTTTGAATAGTTTTTTTTAACGTTTAAAGTTTAAGCGGGATGGAAAGTTTAGACTTTACAAATATTTTTTT